GCTTGCTTTGTCTCTGTCTCTCTGGTGAGCACACATGCCCTATAGAAAAAACTTCTCAAAAAAAAATTAATGATAACAATTGATTCTCCCTAACCTTCTCAAAGATTTGCCTCTTGGAAGGTTAGTCATGGGGACCTTTAAAAGGTGGGGCCTAATAGGAAGGTGCCATCCAATCAGCTGGCAGTGTGGGCGGGGCAGAGGACTGGGGCTTCTGTTTCCTGTCTCTTAGCAACTGCCCCCTTCCTCTTTGTTTATGTCAGCCTTGTTACCTAGCAACAGACACCGACCTCAGGCGGGCCCTGTGCCTCCTGAGGCTCCAGCTGGTAGTGATTGTGAGCCAACTAAACCTCTACCTGCCCAGGTTTTTCTGTTGGCAGCGAATAAACCTCTATTTACGCAGGCTTTTCTGCAGGCAGCACAATAAGGAAGGAATATAGACAATCTGCTCCTCTGAGGCCATCTTGGAAGCTAGACTAGCCAGCAAGTTTTCCCAAGGAGCTGGCCTGTGCCTTCTTAGAAGAGAGAGAGGATCCGATCAGAAAGCCAAAGAGAGGAACGTGCGTCCATACGCGTGCGTGGTAACTGTTGAAAAGAGACATGTGGATAGTATTTGGAGGGAGATGGAGTTGCGTGCTGGGGCTCAGTGGTAAGGCACACGCATGCTACTCTGGAGGCTGTGGGAGAGCCCTGTGAGGGTTTTGGCGCGGTCCAATTATCTTTCGTTTCATGGTGGTGAATAGGGTAGAGGGAGGATAGAAAGAATGGTTCTGGATGTTGGAAGGTGAGATCTAAGATGGAGTCAGCTCTGTGGAGGCTGAGGAGATGGGGAAGTGTTGCCATTCTGGAGAGGCACAGGAAGGGAGGTATCAGCGGAATATAGCAACTATTGGCTAGAGACCAAGACCGTTCATAATGGTCAGACATTGTTGTTGTATTGATATTTGCGGGAGTTTGGTTAAGGGGAGGGAGGGAATACAGAAAGTGAGTGGAGGTCAGTGTTACGAGATGTGCAAGATGCAAGACTGACAGAGGAAATGTTAGTGTTTGGTGATTTTAACGTCATTGATAACCTGAAAGTTGTTATTATTATTGTTATTATTTTTGGAGAGATTTTTGCTATACTGCGCGTGTGCTCGCCAGAAAGACAGAGAGAGACAGAGAGATAGAAAGCGAGAACTCACCCCCCCAGGGGGGATGGCCACGCCGCAATCCCTTCTCCTCCATTCTCCTCTCGGGATCTTGGGCACGCACGCACACGCGCCCGGCGTGAGTTTAAGCCACCGGGTCTGGGACTTGAACCATGGTTGGCTACATGGGAGCCCGGTGACATAGCCATCATGCCAACTGCTGGTCCCCTGTCTTTCATATTAATTTAAGCACCTCTTTTTGGTGATCGTCTGCTTCTCCTGCCTTCTCAGCTCTTCTGTTCCCTGTATCCCACCATTGAGCTGGTTCTCTTCCTTCTGCATCACCTGGAGACCCACGTGCCTGAACTAGGTTCTGCCCGCACTTCTTCCCCAAGCCCCATCCTGCTCGAAAGCATTTTTCTTTTTCGCCTACGTGTGTGTGTGTGTGTGTGTGTGTGTGTGTGTGTTGGGGGGTGGTGGTGTGCTGGGCAGTTAATGTTTTACAGCATTCCCTTCAAATGTGTGTTTCATGGGGACCAGCAGATGGCATGATGGTTATGTTACTGGACTCCCATGTAGTTGAATCCTGGGTCCGGTGACTTATAACTCACGCCAGGTGTGTGTGCGTGCATGCCCAAGGTCTCAAGAGGAGAATGGAAGAGAAGGGATTGCATCGTGGCTATCCTCCTAGGGAGTGATTTCTCGCTTTCTGTCTCTCTGTCTTTCTCTGTTTCTGTGGTGAGCACACATGCCCTATAGCAAAAAATCTCTCTCAAAAAAAAAAAAAAAAACAGTGTGTAGACCAGTAGTACCATGAGTAGACCAGCTCTCATTGGCTACCTACTGAAGACGTGAACCTGATCATAAGATACTCTTCACTGGTTGAGAAAATGAAAAGTTGCATGATTAGAAAAGCATTAATAATCCAGCCTCACACTATTCCCTAAATGCGAAGTAAAACCACAAAGAAGTTGGTGTACTAGTTGACTGCAATTCGAATCTTGGACCCGGTGGCTTAAACTCATGCCAGGCGCATGTGTGTGCGTGCCCAAGATCCCGAGAGGAGAATGGGGGAGAAGGGATTGTGGCATGGCCATCCCCCCTGGGGGGTGATTTCTTGCTTTCTGTGTGTCTCGCTGTCTTTCTGGTGGGTGCAAGTACCTTATAGCAAAAACCTCTCCAAAAAAAAAAAAAAAAAGAAAGAAAAAGAAAAAAGAAAAAAAAAGCCCATAGAGATTTTGACCAAAGATCATTTTCGATCTTTTAACCAACTTGCCGTAAGGGAAAGTTTCTTTCTCACTGAAGGGATTCTCGATGGTACAGTTTGGAACTGGACTTCCTGAATGGAAGCAGTAGGACTGACTGAAAATGAGTTGCTGTCTCTATACACTTACGTGATTTGTTTCTAAATGCCCGTTTATGTTTTAAAATCTCCTATGTTAATATTCATGCTGCCAGACTTTGTACAACTGTTTTCACTATCTTGTTAAAGAGGGTGTCATAAAAAAAAAAAAAAAGAAAAAAACAAAAAAACCCCACTTTTGTTCAATTTCCCTGTTTATGCCTGGAAGATAGACAGGGATACATGTAAGAACTGTTCGGGATTTAGGAGTTTAATCGTTTGTATTCTAACACGACAGCGTTCAACCTGCCGTGCAGTGCTGTTTATTTCTGTCACTCACTGGGTGCATCACTCTGTGTGCTTGCAAATTTTCTTGCACAGATTTGGGTCCGAACTAACAGTATGGGCAATCGATTGATTTCTTCAGAGTTTGTGAGCATTGGGGGATGATTTTAAAGAGCAGAATGGAGTATAACCAATGATCTGGTTTTTAGCCTATGGTTTAAGAATTCCAGATAGAAATTCTCATCTTTGTTGTGTGTGTGTTTTTTTTTCTTCCATAATGCTCAAAATGAAATCAATTGAACATCTTAGAAAAAAGAAAAAGAAAACTGTGAGCGAATCCAAGACAGAAAATAAAGTTCTATTGAATACGTACCTTTTCAAAGATGGGTGCCACTTGGTTCTATGTGAGAACGGGAGAGAAAATCTGAGATGACCGAGGGTGGGCATGAAGGTCACTTATGTTCCTTTGGACATTGACAGGCACATCCGGAACCATCCAGAATGGCCCCATGAAAATCTAGAGATCATTTCTTTCCTCACTTGAGCATGCCTCAGTTTGGTAGCTACTGAAGAAATCTACAACTGAAGCTGTTCTTCCCAGTTTTTTTGTTTTTGAGAGTTTTTTTCGCTATAGGGCGTGTGTGCTCGCCAGACAGAGAGAGACAGAGAGACAGAAAGTGAGAAATCACCCCCCAGGGGGGATGGTCACGCCGCAGTCCCTTCTCCTCCATTCTCCTCTCGGGATCTTGGGCATGCATGCACACGTGCCCGGCGTGAGTTTTAAGCCACCGGGTCCGGGACGTGAACCGCGGTCGACTATGTGGGAATCCAGCGACATAGCCATTATGCTAACTGCTGGTTCCCCCAGTTTTCTTTTAGCAATCTAGCAGGATATGCTAGCTCCGTGGCCTAGTGGCTAAGGCAGCTGGATCTCACTTGACTGATATCTGATTTGGTTCGACTCCAAGACCCATTGGGTTCAGAAACACTCTGGGCACATGTGTGTGTGTGTGCAGGCCCAAAATCCTGATAGGGAAAGTGGAAGAGAAGAGATTGAGATTGTAATATGACCATTCCCCATGGGGGATGCTTTTCCTCCACCCCTTTTCGTCTCTCTACCATGCTCTCTAGCAAAAAAAAAAAAAAAAAAGAAAGAATTCTAGCAGGTCACAGTGACTCAAGGGGGGAACAAATGGATAATCATACAGACTTTTTAAAAAAGAAATTTAAATTTGGGGGCTGGCAGGTGGCATGGTGGTTAAAGGCGCTGGACTCCCACATGGCTGACCATGGTTCAAGTCTTGGACCTGGATGTTTGCTTTCTCACTTTCTCTCTCTCTGATCGAATTGGAAAATAATAGTGATACTAAATAAGTAAAGTTAAGTAAAAAATAACTCTTAAAACATACATTTAAAAATTCTCCGTAGTATAGTTTTAGTGCTTTTTCTTCTTTTTCCATATGGTTTTATTACTTTCTCCCATGACAGAGACAGGGAAGGAGAGAGAGAGGACGCTCCGACAGGGCTCTGATGCTGTCATTCACATTTAGCGTCAGCCAGCCAGGTTACAGGCGGGCCCATGTGCCTGTGCTCATTCAGTGCTTGGGGAGGTCCCGGGATGCAAACCCAGACCTTCTCCCTCTGGTCCCTGCTGTTGGGTTTTGGAATAATATTCATCCTGTTGGTGTGAGTGCCCAAGTCAGTGGAGAAGCAGACGGTAGTCGTGAGACCTGAGAAAGTCTTGGGGACCTTGCTTTGTTATCACGGCTCAGGCCTCCTGAGGTCTCCCGAGGTTTGGGTGCAGTTCCTCTCTCTGCTGTTCTTGGGTTTCCTTGGTGCCTACACAAACGCCTCTCTTTCCTCTTTCCAGACCTTCGTCCTGTTATATCTTGAGGCTTTCCCTGACCGGTCACCTCCTCTGAGCATGGCATGCTCTGTCCCTGTATCGCAGGGGCAATGACAGAACCGTCAGCACCTCCTTGAGGGGCGCAGTTCCCCTAAAGCCCTTGAGCAGACCCATCATAGGACATCCTTCTTTAGAAGCCCATCCCCGTCCTCTGGCCACCTTCACTGTCCTTGCTCAGGGGACACTTGGGAAATAAGACGATTTAGTTTCCAGACAGTACGTCTTGGAAATGCTGTTGATACAGAGTGACAAAATTGTCCTAAGAGTAAGTGAAAAGCCATAGTCACATCAATGATGTCCTTGAATAAAAGTACTTATGTCCTTTTCCGTTATGTCCTAGGTGTCTTCCCGGCCGGCTACCCAGGGCGCGTTGGAATGGCTGTAAACATCTCTGGCGACTCTCAGATCTCCCGCAGTAAAGATGAAATTATATGGAGAGGCTTACTTGAAATCTTATTGTAGTGTGGACTGTGGCATTCCGAGCTGCCGCCTCTGATACTCCTCACAAGGTATGTATGTTTTAACTAACGTCTGCTTTGTATTCTAAGAGTCTATGAAAACCGTAAAAAGAGTTTTACTAGAGCCGCCGTTCATATGTAGCTGCTTGATAAATGTGGGTAGAATTATGACTTTCTCCTCTTTGCTTCATGCTGACTAGTTAATATTTATCATTGCAATTTAAAAAAAAAATAATTAATTTGCCAGAGACAGAGGAAGAGAGAGAAAACATCTCATAGTAAGGTGTGGTCTATTCTCCTCCATTGCTCCATCCTGTCAAGATCTGGGGCACACACGCACACACACCCGGTGTGTTTCTCAAGCTGCAGGGCCTGAGATCGGAACAACATGGCTGGCCATGTGGTATTTAACTGCTGTAAGAGTTTATTTACTTTAAAAATTTGACCAGAGAGGGACAGAGAGAGAGAGAGAGAGAAAGCAAGTCTCCAGGTCTAAGACGGTTCGAGTCCCGGACCTGGTGGCTTAAACTCACACTGGGCGCATGTGTGTGCATGCCGAAGATCCTGAGAGGAGAATGGAGGAGAAGGGATTGTGGCGTGGCCATCCCCCGGGGAAGTGATTTCTCACTTTCTGTCTCTCTGTCTCTCTGTCTTTCTGGTGAGCACACACTTTCTATAGCAAAAACGTCTAAAAAAAAAAAAAAAAAAAAAATTTTTGAAAAAATATGCACATGTTTCCAAGTGGGTAATTGAGAATGTCACAGTGGCCCATGAACAGGTGCAGGGGTTTGATGAGGTAGCAGGAGGCAACAGCTACTGTCACAGCCATACTATGAATAGTGCGATCCCATAAGCAGACATGAATGGATCCCCGTGAACGCGTGATGGTTCCGTCTTTGGCACTGATCTCATGTAACGTGCTCTTTTTTCTCACTGCTAACTTTTGTCACTGATGACAACTTTCAGATGTAGATACCCACAGTGTGAGGGTGAGGGCTGAGGGGAGTGAGGGCAAAGGTTATTCTCCATGCCACCTGAGCCAATATATCAGATCATTGGAAAAGTCGTGGCATGGTTTTCCATGCTAAAATGCATCCTAATGGTTTTATTTTTTTTTAAGAATTATTTATTTATTTTGACTTGTTATTATTCAGCTTGACTGAAGAGAGACACAGAAAGATAGACCGAGAGAGAGAGAGAGAGAGAGAGGGAGTTTGAAAGCAAGCTGCCAGGTTCCGGATTCAAGCCATGCAGGAGTCCAGAGCCCCAAGCACCATGCCACCTGCTGGTCCTGTGTCATGACTTTTCCAACAACCTGATAGGTTGTGGGATGGTATCCATCCAGACAGTGTGCAATAAATCCCGGCCCCACTCTACACTCTGCTTTGTGGACAAGTTTGTTCATATCTCTCTGGAATAATTTTCTCCAACCGATGGTAATCATTGTCATACCTACCCTGTAAATGTCTTGAGAAGATCAGAAGGGCACATATACGGAACTTGGCATGCTCAGTGTTGACCCACTCTATCCATGTTACCTATTAAAACTATGACTAAAACGAGGGACCAGCCGTTGGCATAATGGCCAGCTCACTGGATTCCCATGTAGTTGACCGTGGTTCAAGTCCCGGACCTGTTGGCTTGAAACTCATGCCAAGCCCCTGTGCATGCGTGCCCAAGATCCCAAGAGGAGAATGGAAGAGAAAGGATTGTGGCATGGCCAAACCCCCTGCAGGGTGATTTCTTGTTTTCTGTTTCTCTGTCTCTGTCTCTCCAGCAAGCACATGTACCCTATAGTAAGAATCTTTCTTTAAAAAAGAAAAAAGAATTATTATTACATTTGTTTGCATAAAGAAATACTTTGATATCTTAAAAACACATCATCTTTGAACTCAACTTTGGCGTAGGTCTGAGTCCCTGCTCCAAAGCTTTTGAGTTGTGGGATTGAACACTGGAATATACATTTTTGTAAATGAAAAATAGATGTGATCATCACTACCCTTCCAGCTTATAGATGGATCGATGAAGAGCAATGTAATTATGATTGTTGTTAAATAGAAATTCATGTGCACAATTTATGATGTTCAAAGACATCCTAAGAGAAGAAATTCATGTTCATTCAATGAACCATCTTTACGAAAGGCATGTGAAGTACGAAATACACTAAGGTGTTATGAGTGATTAAAGAGAATTAAAATAGGACATTACTTTCCTACAATTTAATAATGTGCTGGCTCATTAGTTAGGAAACCCAAAGGCCTTCTCCACTTGGTAGTAATCTTTTTTTTTTTTTTTTTTCTGAAGAGGTTTTTGCTATAGGGTGCATGCACTTGCTAGAAAGACAGAAAGAGACAGAGAGACAGAAAGTGAGAAATCACGCCCCCCAGGGGGCATGGCCACGTCACCATCCCTTCTCCTCCATTCTCCTCTCGGGATCTTGGGCACGCGTGCACACGCACCCGGCGTGAGTTTAAGCCACCGGGTCTGGGACTCGAACTGTGGTTGACTACATGGGAGTTCTATGACATAGCCATTAAGCTAACTGCTGGTCCCGGTACTAATATTCTTCTAGTGTTCTGGTAATCTGAGAGAGGAAGTCAACGATTTATCCTCTCACTCCATTTGTCATCTTCTCCAGAGATGAACAATGGCTAGTATAAAAGGCAGACTGGTATTCCGTCACCTAAATTCAGTTTTCCCCAGAAAACTGTACCCAACCATATACATATCATTCTCCAGTAGTCAGGTGCCTTGCCGCAATGCTCACTGTTAAGTAGACAGCACACAGTCATGTGAAACTCATCCTGTGAAGAGAAGATTCCATGGTGAGATGACAAGAAAATTGCCAACATGCTCCCGGATGATTACTGATCCAGTAGAAGTAGTTCTTTTGTACAGCCAAGAGATCAGGGACATGTTGACCATTCTCCACCCTGCTACCTTGGCGCAGGGAAAATTTTTGGCGGGTGGACGATTGGTTCTCACCCATAAATCATAGCTTAATTGTTGATTGGCTCTTTTCACCAACTCTGCAAGGAGTTTTATTTCTCAATTTAAACAAACCAGATCTAAATTGGAAATACACTCAATTAATTGGTTATAGTCTCATTGATCATTGAATGCTGCCCAGAGGGATGCTGGTGAGTTGCATATTGATCCTCTCAAGCTGTCTTCATGGATTTCGTATCCTGAAACAGCATGCGTGATAAAATGGCTAGGTATAGAATTCACATTAAGCCTCGCCTCTGTGGGTGTCCTCCCTTGATTCAGTCAGTCGGCCAACTTCATAGGAAACAAGAATGAGTTCATAACCACCACCAGCTCTTTCTTGTAACTACCCGTAAAAGAAGAGCTTATAAGGAATGTAATGCTGGTCTTCAAACAGTGGCCTCCTCTCCTTTACTGAGAAGAGCAATCTGTGTCTCTTGTTTTCCTAGGGTAAATGTGCTGAGATGGAGAAAAGAATCAAGTAGATTCTCATGGAGGTATTAATCAAGGCACCATCTCAGAAGGACAAAGTAATGGTAAGTGTTAAGACTCATGATGGCTGAGTCTAATATGACAGTGAGTGTGTTCTGGAGGGGCTGGAGAACGAATGTCTAGGTGGGCTGTGAGTTTTGGTGGCTGTGGAAAATACTGAGCTTGGAGCAGAGGACATGGGACTACGTGTCAGCCTCAGTGTCATTTATTATAAGCCCCCCCTGACCACACTTCTGGGAAACCAGAGCTCCTGCCCTGCAGAGTGCTTCATCCCGTTCCCCTACTCTCCTTGGAACCTCCAGTCTGTTCAAACTCTGGGTTATCTGTTGGGAGAAATGTCTAAGAAGGACCTCACTCGTCTAGGGCAGGCTGAGGTCCGCTCAGGCCATAAGAGCCTTCTCAATATGGGGACATTGAGCAGAGGCCAAGAAAAAGGACCTAGGTAACACATTTTGATGACTTCCAGTAGTGAGCCCATGTTAATGGCAGCATTTTAGGATTTAAAAATCTGTGCCCTTTCTCCTAAACTGAAATTTTATAAAAGATCATTTGCTGTTACCTTAGGTGGATGGATTATTCCTTGTTTTTAAAATGCCTTTAGCTTTCTTGGCTGTCATCAAAGGTCCTAAAATACCTGACCTGTTGTATTGTAAGTGCACACCTTGTATATCCCTGCTCAGTATATACCGAAGATTGGAACTCTATAGCAAAAATGGAATGATCTGAAGATATGATAGTAGAGGGGATAAGTGTAAATTGCAGAGATTATAAGGGAGGGGAGTGATGGTAGAGGGGGGGTGGGACGGCAAATGGAAGAAACATTTACTAGAAAAAACAATATAATGTTCTCAGTTGAAAATGACATACGTGGTAACGTCCTTGTTTTGTCACGTGGTACATACACACTTTAAAAAGCCATATCGTGGGGGCCAACCGGTGGCATGGTGGTTAAGGCACCGGACTCCCACATGGCAGATTGTGGTTCAAGTCTTGGACTAGGCAGCTTGCTTTCTCACTTTCTCTCTGGTCAAATTAAAAAATAATAATAATTTTTAAAAAGCCATGTTGTCGATTATAAAGAGGTACAATGGTGGAATGTAAATTAAGTAAATAAATAATATTAAAAATAATACAATTTGGGGGCCAGCAGTTGATGTAATGGCTATGTGGGTGGCATCCCCTGTAGCTTGACTGCGGTTCGAGTCCCAGACCTGGTGGCTTAAAACTCATGCCGGGCTTGTGTGTGTGCGTGCCCAAGATCTCAAGAGGAGAATGGAGGAGAAGGGATTGTGGCATGGCCATCCCCCCGAGGGTTGATTTCTCCCATTCTGTCTCTCTGTCTCTCTCTGTCTTTCTGAAGAGCTCACGTGCCCTTGTAGCAAAAACCTCTCAAAAAAATATTTTTTTTTAGGGGAAAAAAGTTAAGTGAAGGCTAGCTTCATGGCCTGCTGGTTAAGGTAGCCAGATCCTACATGGCCTACCTCTTGCTTTGAGTCTCTACCCAATGGCTTGAGAAGCACACTGCGTGTGTGTGTGTGTGCATTCCCCAAATCCTGACAAGAGTGAGGCAGACTGTAACATGATCTACAGGGTGGGATGACCACAGTACACTCTCTCCCCCCACCCATTCTCCTCTTGGAACTTTGACCATGCATGCACACATACCTGGCGTGTTGTTAAACCACCTTGTCCAGGACTTGAACCACACCTTTGACTGTATGGGATCCAGCTGCTTTAACCACCTTGCCACTGGCTGGCCCCAACAAAGCTTGCTGTTCCTTGGCTGGTGTGGCTTCATAGGCTTTGAGCTGTCCAAAGACTGGAGATCTACATGGTTGTCCCTTTTCTCATGAAGAATCTGTGCCCGGGGAGTGCCGATGACTAATGGAGCCTAGTGAATACGTGAACCTTTCCATGTACCCATAGAATCCATTTTTGTAGCCACAGTTGACTGAGAGCTTTCTGTTTTTGTATTCCCTATGAAGGGAAATGATTTTCAATGGAATTTCTTAAAGGTTGACTTACTTATTTTGTAAGAGAGAGAGAGACTAGTTGAGAAAGAGCGGTACCCTCAATAAGGTCTCACGCCCTGATCCTCCCCAAGCCTTCCCAGCTGGCCAGGATCAGAGACACCCACACACATGTACCTGGTAGGGATAGGTCGACCTGAGAAGCCCACCTGACCCCGTTGGGATCACAGCATAGCTGAGCATTGCCCTGCCCTTGTGGAACCACCGTGGGGTCTTGCAAGGGATTTTCAGATTCATCTGGGAACATCTTGGTGCTCTAATAGTACCATTTATTTTGGGCTGGGATGTGGTGTAGAGCTTAGGTGGCTGTGTTCCACATGGCCGACGATGTGGTTCGAGTCCAGAACTTGATGGCTTGAAAAACTTACTAGGGTGGGACCAGCAGATGGCATAATGGTTACATTGCTGGACTCTCACATAGCTGACTGCAGTTTGAGTCCTGGACCAGGTGGCTTAAAACTCACTCCAGGCACATGTGCATGTGTGCCCAAAATGCCAAAAAGAGAGTGGAGGAGAAGGGATTGTCTCATACCCATTCTTACAGAGGTGGATTTCTTGCTTTCTGCCTCTCTCTCTCTCTGGTGAGTGCATGCACCCTATTGCAAAAAAATCTAAAAATAACTCTACAAACAAGTCCAATGAACTAAAGGACATAATAATGTTTATCAGATTATCATAGACTACACTTCAAATTCCACTTCATTTTAAACCATTTTCTATTGTGATTATTTAATTTGCCCAGCTAAAGGTTGTTGTTGAATAGACCAAATTTTATCTCTTTTGCAATGATTAAAAATTGCCTGGTTTATTGAAAACCTCTGTTGGCACACAAAACATTTTTCTCATTACAAATGTTTAGAAATCTGTTTTGAGTCTCCACTGAAGCTTTCCTTGTTTTTCATTTGGACTTGTTTTAAAAGTACACTTAAAAGACATAATCATATGCATTTAAAAGCTTAGTTTTTTTTTTTTTTCAAGACACGGTAATACATTGGAGATCTGATCTTTGACTACTTAAATAATTGCTGAAGAAATCATGTCTACTTATATTTAAGAAGAAAATTGATAGACTATATTAAGGAGGAAAATGCCCCTTACTTCTGAAATTGAGTAGAGGAAAATCTATTTTGGAGATGATCACAGAAAAGTGATATGATGATTTTAGTTTTGAAGAAAGAAAGGAGACTTCAGTAGACAGGTCCATAGTATATCAAGACTTCTAATCCATAGCTAATAGCACCAATAATCATATTGTGAAAAAAGTTGGTGATCAGATTGCACAGTCCATCGTGGGGGCCAACCGGTGGCATGGTGGTTAAGGCACCGGACTCCCACATGGCAGATTGTGGTTCAAGTCTTGGACTAGGCAGCTTGCTTTCTCACTTTCTCTCTGGTCAAATTAAAAAATAATAATAATTTTTAAAAAGCCATGTTGTCGATTATAAAGAGGTACAATGGTGGAATGTAAATTAAGTAAATAAATAATATTAAAAATAATACAATTTGGGGGCCAGCAGTTGATGTAATGGCTATGTCGCTGGACTCCCCTGTAGCTGACTGCGGTTCGAGTCCCAGACCTGGTGGCTTAAAACTCATGCCGGGCTTGTGTGTGTGCGTGCCCAAGATCTCAAGAGGAGAATGGAGGAGAAGGGATTGTGGCATGGCCATCCCCCCGAGGGTTGATTTCTCCCATTCTGTCTCTCTGTCTCTCTCTGTCTTTCTGAAGAGCTCACGTGCCCTTGTAGCAAAAACCTCTCAAAAAAATATTTTTTTTTAGGGGAAAAAAGTTAAGTGAAGGCTAGCTTCATGGCCTGCTGGTTAAGGTAGCCAGATCCTACATGGCCTACCTCTTGCTTTGAGTCTCTACCCAATGGCTTGAGAAGCACACTGCGTGTGTGTGTGTGTGCATTCCCCAAATCCTGACAAGAGTGAGGCAGACTGTAACATGATCTACAGGGTGGGATGACCACAGTACACTCTCTCCCCCCACCCATTCTCCTCTTGGAACTTTGACCATGCATGCACACATACCTGGCGTGTTGTTAAACCACCTTGTCCAGGACTTGAACCACACCTTTGACTGTATGGGATCCAGCTGCTTTAACCACCTTGCCACTGGCTGGCCCCAACAAAGCTTGCTGTTCCTTGGCTGGTGTGGCTTCATAGGCTTTGAGCTGTCCAAAGACTGGAGAGCTACATGGTTGTCCCTTTTCTCATGAAGAATCTGTGCCCGGGGAGTGCCGATGACTAATGGAGCCTAGTGAATACGTGAACCTTTCCATGTACCCATAGAATCCATTTTTGTAGCCACAGTTGACTGAGAGCTTTCTGTTTTTGTATTCCCTATGAAGGGAAATGATTTTCAATGGAATTTCTTAAAGGTTGACTTACTTATTTTGTAAGAGAGAGAGAGACTAGTTGAGAAAGAGCGGTACCCTCAATAAGGTCTCACGCCCTGATCCTCCCCAAGCCTTCCCAGCTGGCCAGGATCAGAGACACCCACACACATGTACCTGGTAGGGATAGGTCGACCTGAGAAGCCCACCTGACCCCGTTGGGATCACAGCATAGCTGAGCATTGCCCTGCCCTTGTGGAACCACCGTGGGGTCTTGCAAGGGATTTTCAGATTCATCTGGGAACATCTTGGTGCTCTAATAGTACCATTTATTTTGGGCTGGGATGTGGTGTAGAGCTTAGGTGGCTGTGTTCCACATGGCCGACGATGTGGTTCGAGTCCAGAACTTGATGGCTTGAAAAACTTACTAGGGTGGGACCAGCAGATGGCATAATGGTTACATTGCTGGACTCTCACATAGCTGACTGCAGTTTGAGTCCTGGACCAGGTGGCTTAAAACTCACTCCAGGCACATGTGCATGTGTGCCCAAAATGCCAAAAAGAGAGTGGAGGAGAAGGGATTGTCTCATACCCATTCTTACAGAGGTGGATTTCTTGCTTTCTGCCTCTCTCTCTCTCTGGTGAGTGCATGCACCCTATTGCAAAAAAATCTCTCCA